AGAGACTGGTCTTATATAAAGCAAAAATGGGCCCATACAAAACTCTAGGACTATTTCTGTTTTTGCATGCCATATGGAGTTCGACTTAAGCAACTGTTAGATTCAAATATTACCGGCTTCATACTTAGACCGCCTTCTAGGAATTTTTTCATTTCTTTAAAAACTATGTTTGTTCTTCTTGCTGAATGACTGGACTAACCAATAATTCAGATGAAATAAGTAGTATGATAACTAAAAATTTGAAAGCTCATTAAATGTACAATGAAATCTGCCGGCCTGTTTAGTAATAGATCAGTCAAATTGGCTTTACTTAGCCCCATCTAGAGAAACTTTGTTTTGCTAATGTTTAGGTAAGCAATCCAACTTGAAGACTTAAGATAGATTAACACATTTTTGTTTAGTACATTGGCCCCATTTAACCACAACGAAATTTTAAAAAAACACAAAAAATAGTCATCAACGTTTTGTAAAATTAGGCAGGCCAAAGTCAATTACACACGCCTAACACAAACCAGACTATTATAGCTTTTCATATTCAGCTACTTAATGTGTGTTTAATCCTTCCGACGCCTACGAAAATCGTCCGCCCGAAGCCAAAATGTTATCTATTTTGATTAAGATTAGTTCACTATGGTAAGCTCCGCATCGAATATACTGAGGTAATACATCTAACCAGCTGTCTACAATGTTCAAGGAGGACCTTCGCCAACCCCAGCAGTTGTGAAAGCTGTGACGATAGTTGCCGAAAGTCAATGGTTCCCAATTCAAGTTCTCTCCCTTATTATTTGCTAAATCGAATTTTTCGACAGATTACAGAGTCCTCAGCGTTTTGATCCTAGTCTACGGAGCAGTCACTTCTCACCGCCGCTGCTTCTAAACTAATGTATTACTGGGCTATGTTTTTCTTTACAATACGATCCATCGACTTAACGTTGTCAGACGTACGTGTTATCATGATCCGGCATGGTGCGACTCTAATCATTTCGGCTAATCCGATAAGCTGATCGTTTTTGCTCAGGAGACAGACGTAATATAATAATAATAATACACTGAGATAATGCACGCTTGCGAGGCAAAACACAACGAGAAAAAAACCAGACGAATACTAAGCCAGGCCAGAGTTTGTGCATTGTGATTACAACGCGGTGTTGGATAATTACTCTAGTTAGAGAGGTACGTTATACCAGCGCGAGTTGTCGAATGCTGCTGACTATAAAAATAACACAAATATTAAAATAAGGAAAAAATCGTAGATGTGTGGCAAAAAAAAACGTGTGACAAATAACAGTCTAGTAATAATGATCATAACGCTTTGATCATATGACGACGTTGGTATATACCACGCGCTAATCTATCGTGCCCCATAATGGTTAGTGATTCTGGTCCTGTGCGCGTGCGCAGTACATGCATTCGGATTTATTCCGTTGCTAAATGTAGCGGCCTTTAATTTAAGTACCGCTGTTTCTTTAGGAATATTTATTATCTAGCTTAACTTATGTACCCCGACTTTAGAAATTACCACCAGGACCAGGACCAGGCAGCTCAAATACTTCGCCTGCGCAGAATTCGTAGTATTTACTAGAGTTCAGCATCTGAGTGCTAAAATCGCAACTCATTTGCAACACTTAACGTGGACAGTGTCACGATGTGTAAAGATTTTTTGCTCAAAAAACATTTCTGTTCAGCGATCGTTGTCTACACATACGACTTGTAACTGATAACATAATAGTACCGAGCAATCGAGTCAGCGACAAGGTTTTAGCGTAATGGAAAGCGAGCGATTTCAGTAAGGAAGGGCAGAGACAAATTGGATGAACATAATAAAAAAGAGCAATAACTAAAATAACCGAATTCTTATAAACGAATGAATTCAAATACTAGAAGAACGATTAATTTGATCTCGGCTAAGGGGTAGCTATTTGTCATGGGCCTGAAGTAGCGGCCACTCATTTACCAGTTCATAATCGTACACAACTGGACTTATTGTCACCAGGTTTTGTGAATGAACAGTTAAACAGTTGTTACTACCCCCGCCTAGCGTTGGAACCCCCAACTAGGCCTTGTAGGGCTACGCATTACGGCAGTTCAACTGAGTCTATTTATTTGGTGCAGTAGACTGGGTCGGTTGAGCTTACCCCACGACACTGATCGTGTCGACGATAGTTTCGCTATTACCAGTTATGAACACAGTAACTTCAGTTACCGACGTTATTAATGAATCGATAAAGTGTGATTCGAATTAAGTTACAAATATACGATGCACTTATCGAATCGGTAGACGGTGTGCAAACACACATTCGTTATCGGCGAGCAGTTAGAGGATGAACTATATTTGTTTTTTCTATCAAGTAAATTTCTTTGTTTACCCTTTGTATAACGGTAACTAGAATTACTGCAGTGATACTTCACCATCTAAGATCTTTAGATAGACCATTAGATAACGTATTGTCTGTGTTAGAACTATATTAGCAATAGCTTCACTGACTATCACAATAATTAATGCTTTCTTTGTTGATTTTTATTTTATTGATTTATATATATATATATATATATATATAATTAACAGTTGCCTGTTAATTACTCGAAAGTAAATAATCTGAACAGTTTTGGAGGACACTGTAGCTGTGAAGTCATCAGTAATGTACCTATGTATATCATACGATGGCATCAAGTAAGAGAAGAGTAAAGTTGAAAATCAGTGTGGTTTTTTTTTAGCCAGTCAGTTTCAGTAGCTTAAACGTCTCGGTTGTTTAGACGTATGTTTTTGACTATATTTTTCTGTCCCCACTTGAACGTAACTATAATTTTTATTTTTACATACGTTTATACGTTATATATATATATATATATATATATATATACACCTGTTTAGCACGAATGCTAACATAGTTGGGCTTTTTCCAAGGTTATCTACTCACTTTAGTGCACTAGACATAATCAGCCCCCATTTTATCATAGGCAGAGATGTCACTGGCAAAAAAATCGGTTTTGCCTTCGGTCGCTTGAGGATAACGTTCGTTAGCTCACCCATTGACACACTGCCGTGCCAAATATTAAATCGGTATAATTAGTAATGAGTAATCAGTCTGAGTAAAATTTGTCCATTTTACAATCGTTACAGGGTATCAGTTCATCGATATTCACTACGTCGATTCTGGACCTGTCAGAAGCATTCGATGTGACATTATCCGAAGTCTCATTACTCAGATTTACTCAGTCTGTTGCCGCAGTGATTGGCGCTCTTGCAAGTAAGTCAACTGGTCCATCTTGAAAATTTAATTTTAAATTGTGAATTATGATTATTTAAATCTATATCGCAGATGCGTACATGCAGCCTATCGAGAGGAACTATCGGACTTCCGCCTGTGGAGGCTGTCTCTTCCAGCATTAAGCGTTGCAAGACAACAACGAAGCATTATGCTATCTGTATGGATCAAACCTGAGGTTAGAAGTAACGAGACCTTGGTGAAGTGTCGAAGAGACATGTTAACCAAGATGACTGAACTCTGCTTTTTGCTTGTCACGGATGTCTGAAGTGAGGCTTAATGTACTAACCTCCGCCTGTACGCCTAACCTCCTTATTACTTGTAGATTTTAAACATCAATGGGATCCGGTTTTCATTAACTTTAAGTTACGCCAATCTTACTCATTGTACACGAAAATCGAATTAAACTAGAATTCAGACAGCACTCTTTTGCTAAATCAAAGAGAATGAAAATCCCAATAATTTGGTACACAATAGGGGGTGTAAGTTTGCGGTCATTAATTATAGCGGAGTTCTACTACTTCGTATTCGTTACCGCAAAGTAACCGAAGCCTAAACTGGAATTGTGCCAACTCTCCATCTAAACCGATCAGTGAGGCTAGATAACAGTAAGGATATCATTGGTTTTCAAAACACCTTTATCATAATCTCACCTTATTCCACACTACCACAAAAAATGATCCAACTATTGCTTGATGCTCAAGTCAGGCTATTTTTCCAAACTGCAACAAAATGCTTTCATTTACTATGTATTATCTACTAAAATTGCATATGTAATTGTGAACCTATCGGTGTTGACCGGCGTGACACCCAACGATACGTAGATCTATCCATATTTATAGAGATCAATTGTTTGCCTACCGTTTGTATCGAAATGAACTTCACTATATTGCAATCCCTAAATACTTTTCAAAATCATGTGTTTGGTCTAGAAAATAGCGACTGTTGGCCGAATTATATATATATATATATAATATTATATATTTACATATTGTTTGTGGTGCTTTTTACGCTGCCACAAATGGAACTGTTCCGACACAACTATTCATGAAACAAAGCCATGGAGAATTCTAACATTTATAT